GCGAGATCGTGGCCATGTTTATATTGATGTTAAATTGGAATAATAAAATCAAATAAAATTATAGAATACCTTGAAAGTAAGTTTAAGATTTTTATTAAAATAACGTTACTTATTATTTATTATCAATAGTAATGGTAAAATAAGAAGGAGAAAAATCGAAGGAAATTTCATTACATAGTGTATGCACAGCCTACTTTAGAAACATCCAATTTCTGCGGTGTTCAACAAGTTCGGAGATAATTACAAAAAGTATTGAAAGTGGAATGATGGACTCCAGTGACAGAGGTTAGTTTCTTTTATATGCATATACATTTTCTTTCTGTAAAATATTTTTTATTATGTTTTAAATTATAATTTCTTACAAAATCTAACATAAAGAACTAAACGCCTAAGCAATATTTAAATGTTTATCTTATATATCAAATTATTGAAACATGTTTTTATTTAAAATGTTTTTATATAAAATATCTTATGCCAAAATTTATACATAATATTAAAAACATTCATTAATTTTATTAATGTTAGACTATAAATATACATAAATATACAATTATACTATAAATAAACATACTATTTTATTTTATATTAAAATGATTTGCAAAAATTATTTCTTAATTAAATCTTATCTTTTTTATTAATTTAATTGTTAAACTTTTTGACACCTTCACTTGTATAATTTAATTCTGAAATATATGTTACATGTATACATTTTTTGACAAAAATTTATAAATGCATATGTATATAGCTAAATTACAATAATTTGATTTCTATTGTACTTTAGTTTGTACTGCGTTTAGATATAAATTATATATTTCATTTCATATATTTTTAACCCAATTTTATTATTAGATCAAAATAATTATCTATTAACAATTATTTTCTTAAGCTTTTTCTTGTGTTTGACTATTTAATATTATATTTATATAAATCATATCATATAATTTTTTATTAATCTTATTTTATGTAAATAAAGGAATTTCTAAGCATTCCAATATTAAAATAATCTCTCATAAACTAGTGCTTTATAAAATTTTAATTTATATTTTTTTATATTTTATTTGGTATAATTTTTTTTTAATTATATTGCGAAAATCACTATCTTGAAATACATTAAAAATTAAAAAATCAATTCTTTGGTAATATTGAAAATTTTAAATTATGTAACAATAATGTATTTAAAAGTTTTTTGATATAATATAAGTAATTCATAACAACATTTTTTCAAAATCACAGAAAGAAAGTTGAATTTTACTAAAATATTCAGTTTATTAAATGAAATTTTTATTAGTTTTTGTTTACATTTGAATAACTATTTCTAATATTTTTGTTTATAAAACAAAAAATTATTAATTAAAAATATTTCATTAAATACTTTGAAATATTATTTACTAATAAATAAATTAGACTTTCCATGAAATTATAATAAAAATAAAAAAATATGTTGGAGTAAAATTTTTATTATTCATTGCCTGTATAATTTTGTGGTCTGATTTGATAAGCAAAATAATAATTATTATAATCATAAGATTAATCCGGTAACGTTAATCAATTTTCTAATACATTTAAAAAACATTTAAGTATCATTTCCTCAAATTTGATTTCCTCAAAAATTGGTTATATCTTGTATCACTAAGTAATAATGCTATTTTTAGGATTAGTGTTTATAAGGTCATAATGTTTGTTAGAAATGTTTTTGATAATATAAAAATCTTAATTTTGCCTACATATAAAATCAGTATTCAAAAAGTTGTGTATCAAATATAGTAAGAGTCCGTATACATTTGAGTTACTACTGATTAATTTAAACAAGCGCCATATACTTACAGTTTTTTCTCTATAATTATAATTATGTACATTACTCGCTATATTATACAAGGTATACAAGTTATTGATTTTTGTTATATCTATTAATTACTTAAAATTTTAATCAATAGGAGTTTTTATTAAAACTAAACTAATTAATAATTTTAATATAATTTTTTATATATTAAATATTTTCTGTAAATATAAAAAATTGATATTGACATTTTATTGTAATTAATTTTAAATTATTAATTAAATTTTTAATATAATGGATTCAAATTTTATTTAACATGAATGTTCTATAATACTTTTTTTCAACAAATTTATTGATAAGGTAATGATGAGATAGCAAGGTCAGATAAGAAGGTAAGAAAAAAATTATAACATCTAACATCTTTAAAGTATGTTGAAATTACTGATGTATAAAGAAAACTTTCGAATAAGGCTTGAATCATTTTTAAAAGATGTTCAATTTTCTAACTAGAAAGTACGTGAAATTTAAGAAATTGTTATTATTCTTACAGTTTTCATTAATTGTTATACTGCATTCTATAAATGGTATTATAAAATTTCATGATCAATAATATTTATTATATATTTATTATATATTCTACATATGGTTATGTATAGAAATTGAGTTCATAGACAATTTATTTAAAGAATTGTTTGAATTTACTTCCTTCATAATTTCCATTTTAATTTACATTTTTTTAAAATATCCTTAAGGATAGAACTTCTAACAGATAACAATTCCTATGATTCATTTCAACTATATGGATGTAAATTGTATCTAAGGAAAACCTTAGTACTTTAAATAATTGACAAGATCCACATGCACTAAATAGAGATAGGCTAAACTATTGAATCCGATCTTTCCAAATATTGAGCAACTCATTTATTGAAAAAATGTGTGAGTTATGCGTGAAAAAATAATAATAATTATAATTTGCATGGTTGATATTTACGTCTAAAGTAATTTTAGTCAAGAATTTTAGTAAACAAAGCGTCGTATAAAAAATTTATTCTTTTGCTTGTATTTTATTAAAGACTTAATTATTACATTTAAAAATAATGAAGATCATCAGACTAATAATTAACCTAGAAATCCGAGTTTCTAAAAGTGTAAACAAATGTACGATTCGAAGAAGGAACAATCATAAGGCGCGAACTATTATTGATGATTAGATGTATTTTTTATTTCATATTATAAATAAAAAAGAAAATTTAAAGCATTTTTTCTCTAATATACTACATCAAAAAACTTTATTTTAATCAATTCAAACTTAAAAAAAAAATTAATTTACATTTTCCTGATTATTTCAAGAAATAAAATGAAGTTTCTAAATGATTTTTTCATACTTTTTATAATAAAAAAATCAAACAAACTTTAATAAATTCTATATTTTTAATTTAAGTGCCCATTAACTGTTTATTAGTTATTCCTTTTGTGATGGCTATATTAATATTTATTAAGAATATATTATTTTTGTTCTGTGTGATTATTTAACTTAATACGCTATAGTAGCATCATACTCATATTGCAACATTTATATTTATTATTGGATGATATGATGCATTTATATTATCAAAAATTAAGAAAATGTGATAATTTTAAAGTTTTCAAAAGTTTAAATAATAAAAAAAAAAAAAAAAAAAAAATCTAAACGCAGTATAGAATTTGAAGTATATTGAATTAACACTTAATGTTGTAGGTTGTAATGTATCTGTAATAGTATGATATTACGATAGAAAAGAATTAAATTATATTATTAAAATATTAAATTTATGAGACGGGCATAGGTATGAACAATTATTTCTACAGCTAATTTATTGAATTGAACGAAGTTTATGTTCTATAATAAATTATTTTAAACTATAATATTAAGTGACAAATTCCATACATAAAGGATATTTTTTGCATAATATGACTGCTATATAAATATTCTATCTAATGTTTTATCTAATTCGGATATTTCACTAAAGAGTTTCAGAGTAATAATCATAATAATAAACTAATTTAGTTTATGTTAAAAGGTAATGTACATTCATTATAAAATTAAATATTTAAAAAAATAGTTGTAATATTTTTATAAATATAATATTAATATTTAATGTTTTTATTACATAAAAATCAATAATTGACTTTATTAATTACTTTAATAAAATATTTTATTAGCATTTTCTCGTATCTATAAACGGAAAAATATTTTAAACTTGATTTTCGAATAGCAACATTAAAAAAAAAAAGATTAATTTTGTTCAATGATAAAAAACAATAGAATAAATTATATGAAATAGCAGAAGAAGATATTGTATTTAATTTAATATTGATCATATTGCTACAGTATATACAAACTATTGAATATTTAAAAATATGAGGAAGTAAACGTCGATTTTCATATTTATATAGTATTAATTGAAAAATGAAATAATTGAAATTGAAAAATTTGTATTATAATCATTTTGAAGCATTTTTTTATAGTATTAAAGATTAAAAAAACCTAAAAATAAAAACGTCATGCTTTATTTTTCTTTTGAAAGTTAGCGTATACGTGAGTTATAAGCATTTTAACATTCAGTACAAATAAGAAACTAGTGCACTTTCTGCTTAGAGTACTTGTTTTAGTGAATTTAATATGGAAATAAGACTTTAAGCTGATATTAAATCTTATAAATTTCTTAACACTAATTAATTTTTGATGGCTTAGTATATAATCATTTAATAGAAATAATTTATTAGTAGTTGATGTATTAAATTTGAAAGAAGGTCCTAGTTCTATACATTATCGAACGCATTTCCAATACGTTAACATAAATTACGTCGATTTTTATTTGTGAAAAGTAATTTCTAATAGTGTTGTTAAGTAATATGATGTTTATAAGTTTCATACATTTGAAAATATACTTTCTGCTAAGTTTTTTAATTATTTGATTTTGATTAGCTATTGACAAGAAAACATTATGAAAGTTAATCTTATCTTCACGCACATTATTTTAATATTATTTTCCCTTAAAACATTGTAAAAGGAAAAATTGTCCCCTTTGTCATCACTTTTTATCTGGAAATCTTTTTATTTATCGACATATTGTTTCATTGTCAATGACATTTACACACAATGCTTCATGATAAAACATGCGTAGTCAAAAATGTCCACACTAAATTCGGCTTTGAATCGTTCGTGCAGTCGACGTCATCCAAGAAGAAAGGACTAATTTGAAGTGACTTAACACGATGAAGAACGAGATAACGAAAATTCATTTCACAACAATACATGAAAATTATTTGACAAGAGATGTCTCATTGTATACGCTTGTGTCAAGTTAATTAATTAAGTTACACGCATTAATTTACAATACTAATATAAAGTAAATAACGTGGCACAATACAAGATCGAATATTTGACGCAATAAAACACAGGTTCACCTATAGTTTTCAATCTCACTCTCTCTCTCTCTCTCACTCTCTCACTCTCTCACTCTCT